ATTAGTCAAAATCCAAAATTTTTTTATACATGTGTTGACGAAGGATGTTCTGTTTCTCTGACCATAGCCCGTGAGAAACAAACTTGGAATCTATTCCATTTAAGGTGGTTTTAAGTTGAAAACAGTGTAGTTGTGACGTAATTACCGGAAAGGTCTATCGGCCTTGAACTGTTGGGAATTAAGCCTACTGTCTCGTAGCATTTTCTTTTGTGCTATTAGTCCCCCTCTGGTTTTTAAAAACCAGTGAAATACACTATGATATGGTTAAACAAACTTATCAGACCTATTGTGCTAATCCCGAAAATGTTGGTACAAATGCAAGCTTGATTTTGAAGTGCAAAAAAGAGATTTTCAAAATGGCCGCCATTCTCCCTCAGTACGATGCTGTGGGACAGGATTTATTAGACTTTCAGTTTTAAACTAGTCGTAAAAAAGATTTTTAATTTTTCCTGCAGGATGCATTCACTGGATGTCAAATCCTCCCATGTTCGCATAAAGTCCACAAAGAATGCGCAACTCAAATGATACGCAGCGGAATGTAAGTACTTTTATAATTCTGGGAGGTTTCTCGAGATGCTTGACGATTAAATACAGAGGTAGTACGCATTGATTACTCTACAGTATTATTATGTAACCCCCCCCCCCAGAAAAAACTCTGCTATTGCGTATTAAGTTTACGTTTCTAGCTTTTTGAATAAGGAAATCGATGCCTGTTTATGGCGCATGGTGACCAAGGATTAACCAGGTTATAGTCGTTATAGCGATGTATTATACATATAATTCAAAACAGATAATTACTAACTCAAGATGATTTAGAAGTGAGCTTTTAATCTAACTACCTTTTGCTGTTACAAGTAAGAATTACCTACATTACATGTGAGAATTTCAATAAAATATGTTTTCCTTAACTGGGTTAAGATGATCATCATCCGCTGTAGAACATTGTCATTTTCAAGGATTCATTAACTTTTTCAATGATTATTTTACCTTTCCTTAATTTTTGCCTGAAATACAAGTACCGTGAGGATGAATTTAACGAATAAACTCAGTGCTTAGAATGCAGCAAGGGTCCAGGAAGTGCCATTTCAGGGCTTCAAGTTTCAAACCTTTTTTGGAAGAGCATGCTCGTTTGTGAGCCCAGATCCGCCCTTGGACAAGTCCCTTCCGTATTTTCCAGGCAATAAAATCTAGAGGCTTGGTATACAAAACTCATGTGAAGAGAGACAAGTCCTTTCTGTATTCTCTGACCTTGGGCTTGTAGAACGCTTTATAAATGACAACAACCTCATTCATGTTACTACTGTTCATGTTACTACTGTAGCATAACACAGTCGACTAAATTAATTTTCTCTGCAAGATGCCAAGATCTGATTTTCTTTTGGAACGTCGACGTTTTTCCACGACCACATCCACTTCTGTTGCTTTCAAATGTTGCTTACACTGAAACTCCACATTCGAGATATTATACATGTATTTTGCTTAAACTGAAAGTTTGACTTTCAAACTAACGCTTTCTGTTTTTCTTTTCCCAAAGTACACGTTGTCCAATCTGTCGTGAGAGCTTTGCTCACAAACTTGAACGACGACCGTTGCCAAATTCACGAAAACGTTCTGGAAAATCATAATCTGGGTGGGTGCCAGCCAGCACTGAGATTTTCACTGCCGCATCCCTGATCGAATTGAATTTCTAAGAAAGCTTGCGGCTACTCATCCAGTTACTGTAAGTACTTTGCATTGCTTATTTTTTTGTTATTTTTACATGTTGTTACAGTGTAAAGCTCAAGAAAAATCCCTATACCATACATGTACCGTCGTTATAAAGTTTTTATGTCTTTTATGTAACAAAATCTCTATCTATTTTAAAACACCGTCCTTTAATTTTGTTTGTAAGACACCGTCCTTTAGTCTTGATTTCGTTACAATATTTTGCACGTCATGAATTTTATTAGGCTTCAAAATTATTATTTGAATTGAAGTGTATTTACGTGAGACAAAAAGTTTTGTTCATAGGCGTACGGGGCGGGGGCAAATGAAGTCGGGCAAAAATTGGGGGAAATAACTTTAAAAAGAACACATATGCAATATAGTATTTGAAAATACCATAAATATGTAAAAAAGTAACGTGGAATTTCGACAAATAGGAAAAACTTTTTTCAGTATAAAGTCGGGCACAATGGGGGAAAGTTGGGGAAATTTCTTTCTGTCCCCCGCCCCCCCCCCTGATTTTTCCCTCCCGTACGCCTATATGCTTTGTTTCTATTAGGGCTTGTGTTCATATGAGCCCATGGAGCTAACCGCAGGAAACTGTGAGATCTGCATGCCCTTTGTTAAAGCGTATAAAATTCAATTTGTGTTAAATCAAGAAAGCCCGCGGCTAGTTCTCACCTTGCACTAGGTGGCAACTCAGTCAAATGGGATAACATTTCCATGTGAAGGCTTTATCCCACCTGATCGGGATGGACATTTTTTGCCGAGTTTGACCTATGACCAGCACTGAACAGTATAATTGGAAAATGCAAACAAAAAATAAACATTAATTGACGTAAGCAGACACTATTAAAGTCGCAATACAGGATGTAGTTTGTTTAAAGGCACAGTTCAGCCTTTTGAACGATGGTTTTTAAGGTGCATTTCAGCTCTTTTAATTGAAAAAACTAACTAGGAAAATCAATTAAGCATAATTCAAGATCACCAAACTCAATATTTTTAACATTTTAAAACATTTTTCTTGTTAAAAACATCGAGTTTACTGATTTTGAATTATGCTTAATTGATTTTCCTAGTTAGTTTTTTCAATTAAAAGGGCTGAAATGCGCCTTAAAAACCATCGTTCAAAAGGCTGAACTGTGCCTTTAATCACAACAAAAAATATTTGGAAGACGCTTATTAGGGAGTTTACGAATGTCGGCTATCAATACAATGACATTAATCCTATAGCACAAAAGAAATGAATAATTAAAAGCTATAGCAGGGTTTTGGACGTCGTCCAAGCTATGTTGACAACGGCAAAATGCATATTTTCACATCGTGTAAAGTACGCTAGCATTTCATGCCGTGACAGAGTTGATCAGAGTTGATCAACTTTACTCTGAGGATTAAAGCTTTGTTTTACTCGTTCGAAACTATTTTAAATTCATAAGAAAGTAGATACAAGACAATATTTCATACAATCATTTATTTCAAACAGTTTGTTTAGCCGTCGTCCTCCTCTTACATTCGTAAACTCCCTAATGTCGTCCCACTGAGGCGGGCACAAAAACAGTTCATCCCACTCAGGGGAGCTTTTGGGCAAACCGCGCTCATATGAACAGACCCTAAAACTGTACAGTAACTTCTTTTGAAGATTTTTTTATGTTTGATTTCCTTTATTGTCACGATTATCTTAACCGAAATATCTCAACAACGAAGCATAGAATAAGAATCTTCAAAAACGTTACTTCTCAGTTTTTAAGTTAAGAGAATAAAAATTTTCTCGTCATATTCACTTTAATTTCCAAGAAAACACCAACAATATTTCTTGTCACTAGTTCAAATCGTGCAAATTGATGTGCTCTATGATTAACAATATAATTAATATAGTTTTTTGTCTGTGCTGGTGTCAACATACCTCTTTTCATTTGTTTAGATCCAGACGTTTAATGAAAAAAACATCGGCAACCACAAAATTTAAACTTTTCATTTTTCTTTATTATATACCAGTTTAATTATAGTCTAGATGTAAGGGAAGGGCATGCAGTGCTGCATATATAACATGGGAATCGTATTGGAATTTGGGATTTTTGTAATTTGCCACTGTTTTTAATCGGGATATATTTCGTTATGATCAACGCGCAGGAATTTATGGACTCATGTTTATAATCTTTATCACGTTTGTCCACGTTTTCCTGGGCACACATTTATCCTCATCACAAACTTTACAAAATACCTTGTATTATCCTGAATATCTTGTAGGATCTAAATCAGTGCCACATGGAATGAAAACACATATTATGTACGCTACTGCAATGAATTCAATAAATTTTCAAACCAGCTTATCACAGGTAACCGGCAGAGCGCGGAACTCCCAAATAAAGAGCAGGGGATGATGTCTTAAGGAGAATTCACAATATCTTCGAACACTTTATTTTTCTAAAGATAAAGACGATAAAATCAAATTTCAAACATTTTCAAACGATTCCACATTTCAAAGCATTTATGTCAGCATCACCTTTGAAACTGGAGTCTATTTTAGGAACTAAAAGATCTTTTTCAGAACATGGGACGTTCAATAGGTTCAGGGTCTGCAAAAGCTAACATTTGCACAATACAAATAGTTTTTCTCTCAAACTTTACTTTGTCACTATGCAAATCGTAAGATATGTGAAGATGCAGAAAACCCGTGTGTCAGACAATGAACTCGGTTTATACATCAAAATATGGGTGAACTCGTAAGACCAAAATAGCAATTTTACAACGAGCATACTCATTCAACCTACTACTGAATATAGGTGGATGGCACTACGGTGATAATAATTTTTTCAACCTTTGTAAAAGTACTTATCGAATATGAACCCCCCACACAGTAAATATAACAACTCATGTAACTGAGCCTTGCAATACATGCACCAAGTATCATTCGTGTGATCCTGGTTCATAATCACCACAGGAAATTATCGTTAATGGCCACCATAATGCAGACGCCCTCCACCATATGGAACTATCCTAACTCAACGTACGATGTTCAGCAAATTCTACAAAAGCCAATGACAGGTAAAAGCTGATTGCGGAAATATTAAACCTCACAAAACTATCCACTTTTCCACAAGTCACAAGACTTGTCTTCCCTTACCACCCGTGTTCACGACTGTGTCTGGTATATTACTCAAAAGAAAACTTCACTCATTAGATCATACAATACATTGTTAGTCCTTCTGTATTAATTTATTGCTTTTTCTTCATCTTTTACAGATTCCAATTGAAGTGATACAAAAACTAGTCTTTGTGATACGTTGCCTTGTGAATGAATACCTGGCATTTGATCAAATTGTCGTAAATGGTCATCTAAACTACTAGGCTACGGCCTGCGAAATGTGGAAACAATCCTGATACGCGGGTATGAAGGTAGGATGTTAAATTCTGCACGAAACAATGACAGATAAAATAAGGAAAAATTGAAGGTCATTTAAACTTACGTCATGTTTGGTTCGAGATTACAGAGATTCTTTAAAAAGTAAGATCCACAACAGTTGAGCGTAATCAATGCTTACGACCCTAGAGTTTAAATATAGGGCATCCAAACGTCCCAACAAGTTTGGTTCGACATTAGAGAGACCCTGAACAAGTTACGTCCACGACAGCTCCGCGACTTCATTGATGTAGTCAATGCTTACGACCCTAGCGTTTTAAATATCATCCAGTTAAATGCGGGTACTCCATCTCATCAACTTGTCAGTGATTTAATATGGTCCTTACAAAGATGCCATCTCGCTGGAATCAAAGTGTGTTCTATGTTTACTCAACTACGTGTTGCAACGAGTTGGTCGCCTGGATCTCGCCATTGAAATTAGAATGATTCGGACTCGGTATCTATTTTATGTTGCTCCTTCCGTGCTGTTTTTCACAAGACAAATTTCATCACGCGGTTCATCATTTCGTGAGATTGTTGATGCCTTAATACCGTCCATACAAAGATTCATCTCACTGGAAGAAGTTTAAGTGAGTTTGGATGGAGATTCCAGAGATTATGAACAACTTACGTTCAGAACAGCTTCATGCCTTCATCGATGTAGTCAACAACTACGACCGTAGCGTTCTAAATACCATCCAGTTGCACCAGGGCACTTCATCTCGTGAAGTTGTTCAAGTCTTCATACCGTCCTTACAATGCAAAGAGCTTTTGTTTCAATTCCACAAATTAACAATGGCGATTTGGGCAATGTCTATCGATGTTTAGGAGAATATCAGAAGGCCATTGACTATTACAAAAAAGGTCTGGAAATAAGCACTGCTATTGGAGATCGGTCAGGAATAGCAAATAAAAATGACAATTTGGACAATGCCTATCATAGTTTAGGAGAATATCAGAAAGCCATTGACTATTACAAAAAAGGTCTGGAAATAAGCACTGCTATTGGGGATTGGTCAGGAATAGCAAGTAAAAATGGCAATTTGGGCAATGCCTATCTTAGTTTAGGAGAATATCAGAAAGCCATTGACCATTACAAAAAAGTACTGCTAATGGGGGATCGGTCAGGAATAGCAAATTACAATGGCGATTTGGACAATGCCTATCGATATTTAGGAGAATATCAGAAGGCCATTGACTATTACAAAAAAGTTCTGGAAATAAGCACTGCTATTGGGGATCGGTCAGGAATAGCAAATAAAAATGACAATTTGGACAATGCCTATCATAGTTTAGGAGAATATCAGAAAGCCATTGACTATTACAAAAAAGGTCTGGAAATAAGCACCGCTATTGGGGATCGGTCAGGAATAGCAAGTAAAAATGACAATTTGGACAATGCCTATCATAGTTTAGGAGAGTATCAGAAGGCCATTGACTATTACAAAAAAGGTCTGGAAATAAGCACTGCTATTGGGGATTGGTGACATTGGTCAGGAATAGCAAATAAAAATGACAATTTGGACAATGCCTATCGATGTTTAGGAGAATATCAGAAGGCCATTGACTATTACAAAAAAGGTCTGGAAATAAGCACTGCTATTGGGGATCGGTCAGGAATAGCAAATAAAAATGACAATTTGGACAATGCCTTTCTATGTTTAGGAGAATATCAGAAGGCCGTTGACTATTTCAAAAAAGGTCTAGGAATAAGCACTGCTATTGGGGATTGGTGACATTCTTCAGGAATAGCAAATAAAAATGAAAATTTGGACAATGCCTATCGATGTTTAGGAGAATATCAGAAGGCCATTGACTATTACAAAAAAGGTCTGGAAATAAGCACTGCTATTGGGGATCGGTCAGGAGTAGCAAGTAAAAATGGCAATTTGGACAATTTCTTGCACTGCTATTGGGGATTGGTGACATTCTTCAGGAATAGCAAATAAAAATGAAAATTTGGACAATGCCTATCGATGTTTAGGAGAATATCAGAAGGCCATTGACTAATTACAAACTTGCACTGCTATTGGGGATTGGTGACATTCTTCAGGAATAGCAAATAAAAATGAAAATTTGGACAATGCCTATCGATGTTTAGGAGAATATCAGAAGGCCATTGACTATTACAAAAAAGGTCTGGAAATAAGCACTGCTATTGGGGATTGGTCAGGAATAAGAAGTAAAATGGAAATTTGTGCAATGCTTATCTTAGTTTAGGAGAATATCAGAAGGCCATTGACTATTACAAAAAAGGTCTAGAAGTAAGCACTGCAGCTATTGGGGATCGGTCAGGAATAGCAAATAAAAATGGCAATTTGGGCAATGCCTATCGATGTTTAGGAGAATATCAGAAGGCCATTGACTATTACAATTAAAAGGTCTGGAAATAAGCACTGCTACTGGGGATCGGTCAGGAAAAGCAAGTAAAAATGACAATTTGGACAATGCCTATCGATGTTTAGGAGAATATCAGAAGGCCATTGACTATTTCAAAAAAGGTCTAGGAATAAGCACTGCTATTGGGGATCGGGGAATAGCAAGTAAAAATGGCAATTTGGACAATGCCTATCGATGTTTAGGAGAATATCAGAAGGCCATTGACTATTACAAAAAAGGTCTAGGAATAAGCACTGCTATTGGGGATCGGTCAGGAATAGCAAGTAAAAATGGCAATTTGGACAATTTCTTGCACTGCTATTGGGGATTGGTGACATTCTTCAGGAATAGCAAATAAAAATGAAAATTTGGACAATGCCTATCGATGTTTAGGAGAATATCAGAAGGCCATTGACTACTACAAAAAAGGTCTGGAAATAAGCACTGCTATTGGGGATTGGTCAGGAATAGCAAGTAAAAATAGCAATTTGGACAATGTCTATCGATGTTTAGGAGAATATCAGAAGGCCATTGAGTATTACCAGAAAGGTTTGGAAGTGAGTACCAAAATTGGCGGTTTGTCCGAAAAAGCAATTATCCTCATGCATGCAGCAATTTAGGAAATACGCATCGTTGTCTTGCAGAGTGTGAAGTTGCAACATCACACTTAGTGAAGTCAATTAGTTTCTTCGATAGAATCTTTTTAGATTTGGTTCCGAATCAAAATACGCTTACTGAGTTGTTTTCTTTGGAACGCATTGGATCCGCATTATTATAGTCCTATGAAAAAAGCTGTCAGATTAGCTCTTGAAAAATGTGCGGGAAATGAGCGACATGGACGTTCGTGAAGACTCCGTATGTCGGGAAGGGATCAAAGATTTTGCCGTGACAGAAAAACAAAACGTATCCGTGATTATAAGCAATTGAAATAATGCCATAATGCTATGCTTGCTTTCTATATTTAGATGGTTCAATGTTGAGTTAAAAACTTCTATCTTAAGACGATTCTGCGCTACGGTACAAGCAGACCAACTGCGGATGATATACTCAATTCCCCATTTTTATCAAAGCGTTTGGTTTAATTTCGGTTAAAATTGAAGAATATATCAGCAGATTGACAAAAACCAACTTTGTCAGAGGTTTTGTGCTAAAACGTCTAAATTTATGCTATTCATTCCTGTAAATTGTTCATATTATATGCGTGAGCTTGTTTAGTCTCTTTTGAACAATTATCACAAGATCGTGTTGGCAAATAACTTCAGCTACATGACCGAGAGCAAAATGTGAAGGAAATACAGTACAACAATATTGTCACCCACTAGCACTTTCAGAAACCTCCACCATGCAGGAGAGACTAGAACACCATGAACGAATAGACCACAGAAAACCACCAGTCTACCACCAGTGGGCCCTTGTTAATAGATACCAGAAGAAGTTTTCCCACTTACGACGGAGTAACACCCAAAACACTGCATCTTGCTCATGTCATTGCAATGGAAGTGTTGATGGAATATTGTATCAAATCATATCGTTATTCGTGTCATTGATAAAAAATGTTAATAACTCTAAAAGTAACGGCCCATCCCGGTTTTAGCAGTCCGCGTGCGGACTATTTCCTCCAAAGGTGTGTCGTGCTTTTGAACAATTATCACGATATCTTGTTGGCAAATACATTCAGCTAGATGACCGAGAGTAAATACATCTTACAATACAAAAATATTATCGGTTCCGGCTTTCCTGTTGCTAATAAAGATTGCGATATCCGTCGAATTAAAATATACAATGATGACAAATTTGACTGAATTCAGGACGATTTGAAGAAAATCAGTTTGAAAACTCATAGGTGAAGTTTTTAGTTTCAAAAATAAGAGCTATTCACGAGACTCGACAATTACTGATCAATACTGAAATTAATATTGCAGATATTTTACTGACATTGGCTTATCCCTAGCAATTAAAATCTCCCCTTCTTGAGACTGGAGTTGAAAAAACAGTATTTCTCAAACCAACTACTAGGCACAATTGCCACAAATTAAGAGAGATTTGCATCTTTTCTAAAAATGGGAAAACACTTGGTTTGATCATATACCTATAGTTATATGCATTTCATAAAAAATTGCTTTAACTCATATCGGAACCATTTATGCGTGCAGACAACTCAAAATTGCCAAAATAGTTCCTGTCTTTAAAGCTATGGTGATGTAAACATATTTGAAAACTACAGACCCATCTTTCTCTAATATTTTTAAAAGAGTCCTGTATAATTTCATGCTTGCTAGAGTTTGCAAACAAACTTGAAAACTTGCTATCAGTTTGCCTTTCGTTCCTCTCATTCCACCCTTGTACTGTTATACCTCCACGAGACTTCCTTTCAAACACCTTATGCATGATTTTTGGATGCCTCCCGATATCGGTGATATTTACCGCAAATCATTTCTCCTATATATTGACTTCTTACCTAATCTTTCTTTTATGCGAATGGACATAGTGGCAAATAATAAAAAATTCAAATCCAACAAACATTATATAGTATGATATATACCCAAAACCCAGGCTGTTTATAGGAAACCTCGGTTAGCTGTGATTACAACGGAGTAATACCCAAACACCACATCTTGCTCGTGTCATTGCAATGGAAGTGTTGGTGAAATATTGTATCAAATCATTTCCTTATTTGTATCATTGATAAAAATGCCACATAACTCTGAAAGTGTAACGGCCCATTACTTTCGGATTTGCCAATATATACGCTCTAATCTAGTGATCTGGGCGTATGGCCACTTTCGAGGGTCGTCGTACTTTCTGCATGGGTGAATGCTTATTTCGAGTATTGTAATTATTGTACTTGCGTGAAGACACCAGTTGATAAGAATAAGGGAATGACTTGAAGGCATATTTTATGAACACGTTAGTTGCAACGGCAGTAAAAAGGCTGCTATAAAACTTGCATCAACCCTTAAAAAATGCACAACTGAGTATCTTTACAACCCTTTCCTTTATTTGGTTATGTGCGATATTTTGAACTTATAGACCTGCTTCTTAATCCCCGATCAAACGAGGATGAGAGTTGATGAGAGTGGGCAGTCACGCTTTGTCACAGAGGAGATTAACAAAATAAAGTTTGATGAGAGTTCCAACAATGTTTCAACCTAAATAAAAGAGATGTAAAATAAAGTGTTTGCACTCATTC